AAAAAATACACTATGGACGAATATTTTTATAGAATTCAATATGTAAAACTAATAAACAAGAAAGTAAATCATCTTTTATTCAAAGTAATGAAGAAGGAGAATTGAATAAATATTTACATAATGAATAAAAAAACATCATTCAAAAGAATCGTGTATGGGAAAGAAGAGAAAAAAAAAGGCAGAAAAAAACCACTTCCCAAAAAAAAAGGACATCATGCTGCCACCTCCTAAAATTATTTAATTTAATTAAAAAAAAACTTCCCAACACGTGGGCTACTAATTGCAAAATTTAATTTTTAAAAACCTTTTTTTTGTCAAGAAAATAAAAGATGGCTATATGTTGCCAATTAGTAAAATGGGATGTCATGCTGTGCCATTTTTTCATATTATAGCCAAAAGAAATATTGTCGTCCAATTATATACTTTTTACAACTAAAAAGACAAGAAAATTTGTGATTATTCATAAGTTACATATCTTTCACGAGAAGAAATTCCATATTGCTCGCGTCTATTCAGATTAGCAAACTTTTTCATATTTGTGCTCTTTCATTCAGAAAATTGATCGTACATGGGTATATCTCCCTCCATATATATATATTTAATGGTGGTCCGTGGTCTATTTAACTTTCAACAAATATCTCTTAAGGGTAAACATATTCGAAAAATATCTTTTCCATAAAAACACCTTTAAAGTATATATTCTACTTGAAACTTTTTCTGCTTTAAGAAAGAACAAAAATTGTAGAAAAAAAATTGATTACATATATATATATATATATATAAATGTAATCTCTAACATAAATTTTAGAAAGAAAAAAAAAGTTTCCAGGTCAAAAGGTTGAGATCAAATGAAGAATTAGTAGTACTACTTACTGAACTTCACTTATTATTTGTTTCTCTATATTGTTTTTTGATGAAGTCTAATTTGTATGAATAATAATCGGGTAGACATCTCATAAAAATGATTGTATATCATATCTGCACCACGTTATTATGATTAGAAATATCATATATTTAATGGTTATTTATCTAAAAATTGAAACAAATAATTAGCTGGCATACATACATATACATATATATATAGAGTCCGGAGCCTAAAGGGCAAAAAAAATTGTCAAAAATTCTAAAAGGGCACATCACTTTTTATTCTAGCCAAAAGGGCAAAATCGCTGCGTCAGCAGCGATTTTCCTCTGACAAAATGACGAAATAGCAGTGATTTCGTGTAAAAATATTTTTTTATTTTTTTTAATTAAAAATCGCTGCCACAGCAGCGATTTT